GCCAGGCATGGTGGCGGGCACCTCTAATCCCAGCTACTGGGGAGGCTGAGGCAGGAGACTCATTTGAACCCAGGAGGCGGGCGTTGCAGTGAGCTGAGATCATGCTACTGCTCTCCAGCCTGGGCAACAAGAGCGAGACTCCATCTCAAAAGAAAAAAAAAATTAATTTGGGGTCTCCTTAGGAGCTATAAACAGGGGATGCACTTTTTCAGTGACAACATGAACATGTGAAACTGATGGAGCAGAAATTGCACCTGATTCTTACATGTTCATGCATATGGTGATACAAGCACAAACACTTTATCTTGCAGACAAGAGAATACTTCCAGTTTTGACCTGTGAAGAACAAAAACTAGGACAAAGCTCTTTGTCAGAGAAATCTCATCAGTTTTCAATACCACCAAAGCAATTGTGAAATGATTTGACCTAAGGTTTAACTATATAATTCCTCAGTTCACAGGTACAACAAATGTTGGCTCCTCCTTTTAAAGGCAGTGTGTGTATGTGTGTGTGTGTGTGTTGTATTGATTGATTTTTAAAAATACATTCTAGGAAACTCTTAACATAAAGATTTGGTCCAAGGATTAGAACTTAGTTCTAGCCTGCAAGGGATCCCTAATTTCTGTCATCCTACCACTAAAGCCAAGTGTCTCGTACTACTCAGAAGCTTACATCATAGACAGAAAGGGAAAGGCAAAAATGAAAAAGAGGAATATGAAAAAGTGGGAGAGAAAAAGAAAAACATGAAAAATTTCCCTATAATTATATTAAGTGAGAATATGTCAGCTGGGCACAGTGACTCATGCCTGTAATCCCAGCACTTTGGGAGGCCAAGGCAGGTGGATCACTTGAGCTCAGGAGTTCGAGACCAGACTGGCCAACATGGTGAAACCCCATCTCTACTAAACATAAAAAATTAGCTGGGCATGGTGGTGCACACCTGTAGTCCCAGCTACTCAGGAGGCTGAGGCACAAGGATCACCTGAACCTGGGAGGCAGAGGCTGCAGTGAGCTGAGATTGTGCCATTGCACTCCAGCCTAGGTGACAGACGGAGATTCCATCTCAAAAAAAAAAAAAAAAATAGAGAATATGTCTTGGGTTAGCTTGCTTAGGAAAGAAAAAGAAAAGAAAGAGAGAGAGAGAAAAAAAGAAAAAAAGAAGGAAGGAAAGAAAGAAAAAGAAAGAAAGGAAGGAAGGAAGGAAGGGAAAGAAAGAGAAAGAAAGAAAATATGATTTGTGCTGTCATAGAACTCAACATATTTCTGATTTCAGTGATGAAATCATGTTCATGTTGGTTTATCAAACACATGTAATTTATCTTTTATATGTATAAATATCAGATAATATTTATACATAAATCTAAATTTGTACAAATGTCCTGTTTTCAGGCTGGGCTGGAGTGATTATTTTGTTATTGGATCATTATTTTGTTTTCAATCACTGTGAATAATAATGTTTTGTATGATTTGGTTTGTTTTTGCCATGCACACCATAACTGCAAATAAAAGAAATACTCTGAAAAGTCTGAGTCCATATAAATACCCATTTCAATACCAAATTTGGTAAAAGTCGCAGTAATTTGCAATGGAAGCACTGAATATGAACTAGACATATCCCATAAATAGTAAAGCTTGGAGCTTTGTATCCAAAGTGCTAAATTGCCATTTTGGAAGTTGAAGAAAAACTTATATTGCTTTTTTAGCCAGTTAATTGTTTAAATATTAGAATTTTCAATGTAAGTCATGATTTCTGAGATTTATATTGGAGAAACACTGAGCAAGAAAAATATTGTCAGCATTTCTAGTGACACTGCTGTTGAAAAAGCTCAGTCTCGATGCATATAGAAATACTGTCACATTTTGCTGTCAGAAAGTGCTCTTTCCTTCTCTAATGAAACTCCATAATTATATGCATTAAACAGAAATTAAAAAGAAATGAGTAAAGAAGAAAAGAGAGGGAAAAGAGAAAAGGCAGGGCTGGAGGAGAGGAGAGAACCGTCCCACCTTCTTCCCAGTATTATTTTTTATTATTTATTTATTTATTTATTTTTGAGACGGAGTCTTGCTCTGTCGCCCAGGCTGGAGTGCAGTGGCGCAATCTCGGCTCCCTGCAATCTCTGCCTCCGGGGTTCATGCCATTCTCCTGCCTCAGTCTCCCAAGTAGCTGGGACCACAGGCGCCACCACACTCGGCTAATTTTTTGTATTTTTAGTAGATACTGGCCAGGATGGTCTCGATTTCCTGACCTCGTGATCCACCCACCTCGGCCTTCCAAAATGCTGGGATTACAGGTGTTAGCCACCGCGCCCAGCCCTTCCCAGTATTCAGTGCGGCATATGGGGCAGCACCACCTTTGGCAAGCTTTAGACCAGAGAGCACATGTTTTCGCAGGCCACTGAATTAAAATTTGTGGCTCCTGGATTTCAAAGGTGGTTAATGCAGTAATTTGCTGGGAGTTATCAAAGGCAGAGACAATATTGCTGCACGGTAATATCCTAGCTATGGAAAATAATTAGCACTTTCAGGCAGCAAGGATTAGAAAAGCAAATTTTCCCTAAGTTATCAGCCAAATTCACCTAAAAATTTCAGGATACAGCACAGGAATTCCGAGGCAGACAAACACACGAGGTTCTAACGTTTCACATTCTCAAAATTCATCATTCTAGAATGTTCTAGGGTGATATTGACCTTTGCGGGCAACCCTTTTCTGCACAGTCAGACCAGTACCGGTAGTTAAGAGTTGTGGGTAAATTGGCTCTCATAAAAAAGAAAGGCATTGTATTTCAAATCTTTACAACAGATGATTTTGTGGGACTTACCAAACGAGGGAAGGAACCTCTTTCAGTTTGTGAGCCATCAACAAATCTGAGTGCCATTTGTGTACTTTACTGGCCATTTTGAACAAGTAGAAAGGAAACTGGGATGGAAGTTAGGAAACTATGCTCCATTCTGGCTCTTTCACTAAAACCCAATTTATGGGTATATAAGATGCATTTTCCCCTATGTGAAGGACAATTCAGAAATTGCTCCATATCATACGTGTCCATACCACAAATGGAAGGCCTAGTACTAAACTTACAAAATAATGATGTCACCTCTAGTGGTGAAATAAGGAAACAAAATATAACAGCAAAAATAAGAGTTTCCCATCATAATGGTAGTTTCCTTAACAAAAATAACCACAGGGCAACTGATCAGAAGGAAAGTATTACCCTAAAATTTTAGATTTAAATTTGTTGCTACTATAATAATGCTGCATACCAAAACTGATTGACATCTAAACATTTCTGTGTAGTGCTGAGATTTTCATATCTATTTTTTTTCAGGGTAAGACTGACTTTTTTTTTCTAATATTGTGCCCATGATATCTTATTGGATTCTAATATATATAAGGATATCATATTTACATCAACAAGATAATATTTTTCATTTTATACTTTCAGATCATTGTCTCTATATAACAAAAGGTATTTAATATTTTAATTTTCAAAAATGTCTCTGTAAATAAGATGCATCTTACACAGACTGTATGTCTTACAGAATAGCAATTATATCCAATATGTCTATTTCTTATATTACAATTTCCTTGTTTACCTTATAGAGATGATTCAGGACCCTACTAAATCCACTAGGCTGTTGCAAATATCAAGATCATTTACTCAATAGTCATTTGAGAAAAATAAAGCATTATGCAAAACATTGCTATGCTGATACCAACTATATGAGCAACTAGGGATTAAGCCAGATCCCCTTGGGGAATAGAATATTCAACTTCCTCCCTGCAGTGAGGTGATAAAACCTGTACGGACCAGTTGGGTAACCCTAGGGGGAAAGAAATTCTTTAAAGAGATCTTTCTAAGGCTGGTAGGAAGTTGAATTTTCTTACCAATAGAAGCAGCTGAACTATTTGTTTTTTACACATTAAATTTGAAGTTGGTCTCTGATTTCCACCCATTGCTCAAGAGTTTAAAAAAGAGAGATGACCATGTACTGATGATTAACAGATCAAATGTTTCTGTCTGTGGTAAACACAAAAATTCCTGAATTTCCTCTCAGAAGCTATTGTTGCATAGAAATGTGTTATGATTTAGTCCTCCACAAATCGAAACAATTTTTTTCTTTAGAAATACTCCCAGATTGGCTGGGTGCGGTAGCTCACACCTGTAATCCCAGCACTTTGGGAGGCTGAGGCAGGCGGATCACTTGAGGTCAGGAGATAGAGACCAGCCTGGCCAATATGGTAAAACCGTGTCTTTACTAAAAATACAAAAATTAGCCGGGTGTGGTGGCACATGCCTGTAATCCCAGCTGCTGGGGAGACTGAGGCATGAGAATCGCTTGAACCCGGCAGGTGGAGGTTGCAGTGAGCTGAGATTGTGCCACTGCACTCCAGCCTGGGCAACAGAGTGAGATTCCGTCTCAAAAAAAAAAAAAAAGAAAAAAAGAAAAAGAAATACCCCCAGATATATCCTTCATCCTTTAACACTGCCCAAGTAGGTGAAATCTGAATCCTTCTCTCAGATGTATTTTAAATAAAATTCTGTACACATAATCATCTCGTCTAATATTTTAGTCTCCCACATAAAAATCTCAGCAAAAAGGCCAGTTTTTACTGAGATTACCTGTTTTAGATGTGTCTTAGAGTGGAAAATGCAAAAGTGGAGGAAAAAAGGCTGTAAGGAACTGCATTAAAATGGAAACAATCTTTTCCACTGGTCAGTAGGATTATGGCTAATGTAATCTCGATTTTGAGCCCTTGATCCATACGCTCTACAAGTGTGTCTGTCTGTTTCACAAGTGTGTATTACTTTTATAACACGGGTGTGGGGGAGTCAGTTGCATAGAAAGAGTCTCAGGAATGCTAGATCAATATAACACCTCAGGTGTCACTGAAATGGTCTCAGACATTTAGGAATTGGAAGGCTCACAAAAGCTATTTTCACAGCTAGTTCAACCTGCTTAAACAATGTTAAGTGCATAATAGTCTTTTTTTTTTTTTTCTTAGAGATAAATAGCATTTTAGAAAAAAATAAGGAAAAGCATATTCTCTTTTGGGGGGCAACTGATTTGGCAAAATTTAACGAGGTTTTTAAAACTCAACAGTCATGGAGCACCATTAAATATTCACACAAAAAGACCCAGGCAGCTTAGAGATTAATATTTCCTTGGTCACAAGACACCGAATTGACTTGCAACAAGACAAAATATTCAGTGCATCTGGTTGGGGCCAACATGGATGATGACGTGTTTCTCATAAGCCCTTTTCATTGTTTTCTCAATTTGCTTCAGAAAAACTTGCGGGATCCGTCCACATAAAGTGTGCACAGTCTCCAAAAACTTCAGCTGAAGCGGGTAATACATGGATTGAAAGAGATTGTCTTGAAAGGGAAACTGAAAGAATGACCAAAAAAGAAAAAAAAAAGTTTATTTTAGTAACAGAAATGCCATTTTAAATGCAATACTAAGAAATGACACAGGAATTACGATAAGCACACAGGCACAGGTTTGGACAAGTGAAAAGACCTTTGAGGATCTAAGTTAACATCCTGTCTCAGCTGTGCAACCCCAGGCAATCATTTAAACTCTCTGAACCTCAGTTTCTTTACCTCTTTAAAAAGAAAAAGACCAGGCATGGTGGCTTACACCTGTAACCCCAGCACTTTGAGAGGAGGTGGGAGCACCCCTTGAGTCCAGGAGTTTGAGACCAGCCTGAGCAACATGGCAAGACTCCATCTCATTAAAAAAGAATAGTAATAAAATGTTTACAAAATTTGGGTCCTGAAGGCTCTTACAATCTAAAAATGATGGATGTCTCTAAGGACAGGAAAGTCCATATATTATAGCATGTTTTGGGCTCAAGATACTTGAAATCTACTACAACAAAACAATGAATTCTTCATCTTTTTTGCCTTGAATCTTAATGAAGAAACTTTAGGGTGTGTCTATGGTAATCTCGTGAAGTTCAGGGTTTAACAATTACTAGTAAAATTTATTGGCAATAAATCATATTTTAATAATTCAGGTACCAAATATTAGTGGTTGTTTACTTCCCTCCTAATATGGGGCTTTTGAGATCACTGTCGTTTTTTAAAATTCTTTTGTTTTTTTCATGGAATACGTCTATGAGCAGTATTTCCCAAAATAAATCTTTCCGACTACTTGTTAGGCACGTGTCGAAAGTTTTATTACAATCTTGTTGAAAGGGAAAAGGCTGCTAGTAGATCAAGTCAAAGATCCACTCTTGGTCAGGACATTTTATATGGCAAGACTAGCGAGAAATGAAAGAAGAATGGTTAAAGGTCAGTACACTCTTGCCTAACAGTAGAGGTGGGTGTCTGGTTTCCTAGAACAAATGTTAATCCTTTTAAATTAATCATTAATACTGCTTACACAGGTTTATCAGAGATGCCAATTTCTTCTCAGAAGGAGATTATGCATTATGTAATGCAAGAAGCTTCTGTCCCAGACCAGGTTTGAGATACTTTTTCTTTAATCACGAAATTTAAACCATTGATAAACCCCTTGATGCCAGTCCTGAATCTGTCCTTTTCACCACTGTAGCCCCAGTAATGGGAACAGGATAGGTCAAAACCTTGAAATCACCCTCAATTCCTCTGTTTTCCCCAACAACCCTTACCCAGTTCATCAGCAAGTCCTGTAAACTCTATGTCAACAACATATCCCAAATAATGGCCACTTCTTCCCATTTTCCTGCCACCACGCAAGCCCATGCCGGCCCCATTGCTCACCCGGGTGGCTGTAATTAGTCTCACAAATAGCCTTTGTGTTTTCACTCTTGCATCCCTTCCACCACGTTACCAAGGTGATATTTTTAAAGCATAAATCGGAGCCTATCACTTTCCCGAAGGGGCTTTCCACTGCCGTTAGAATGCGATTCCAACTCCTCCCTTGTTCTAAAAGTTCAAGGTGACCTGGAAACTCTCCCTTCTCAGTTCCTTCTCTCTCCTCTTATCTGGCCATTCCTGTCTTTCCAGCAGACCAAATTCATTACCGTCTCTGGGACTTTCCCCTGGTTATTGCTTCTGTTTCATGGGATCTTCCCCAGATTTCCCCTGGACTGCCTCCATCTGATAAGTCTAGGACTTGCAAGCAGCCTTCCTGGTGCCCCTCCCCCCAGCTGGCAGAACACTCCTCTCCAGTCCAGGACTTTGGACCCATCAGCCCACTCTTTTTACACCTTTTGAACTTTTTCACTATCTCAGAGGATTTTTTTTTTTTTTTTTTAGCTAGGGTCTTGCTGTGTCACCCAGGCTGGAGTGCAGAGGGGCAATCATGGCTCACTGCAGCCTCGAACTCCTGGGCTCAAGTGATCCTCCATCTCAGCCTCACAATTAGCTGGGGCCACAGGCACTTGCCACCATGCCCAGTTATTACTATTTTTTTTCCTAAAGAGGCAAAGTCTTGCTCTGTTGTTCAGGCTGGAGTACAGTGGTGCCAGGCAAAGTCTTGCTCTGTTGTTCAGGCTGGAGTACAGTGGTGCCAGGCAAAGTCTTGCTCTGTTGTTCAGGCTGGAGTACAGTGGTGCCAGGCAAAGTCTTGCTCTGTTGTTCAGGCTGGAGTACAGTGGTGCCAGGCAAAGTCTTGCTCTGTTGTTCAGGCTGGAGTACAGTGGTACCATCCTAGCTCACTGTAGCCTTGGCCTCCTAAGCTCAAGGGATCTTCCCACCCCAACTCCAACCCTTCCCTGCCCAGTAGCTGGGACTACCAGCATGTGCCACCAGGCAAATTTTTATTTTTTATTTATTTTTTAATTTTTGTAGAGACGCATCTCACTATGTTGCCCAGGCTGGATTTTTCTTTCTTTCTTTTTCTCAGTGAGTATTGTCTGGCTTCCCCCAGCAGAATATATGCTTCTTAAAGACTAGGGCTTTGTCCATCTTATTATTTTCCAAATTCCTAGAAACTAGAATTGTTCCTGCATAAAATAGATGCTTCATAAATGATTGCCAAGAGAATTACTGCAAAAATGTCTATCTGATAGATGCCTTCTTGCAGGGAGGCTGCACTGCCCTTTCACACAAACACGTACCACCCGGGTTAGGGTGTCTATGAACACCTGAAACAGAGAAATAGAGAGAGAGAGAGAATATTTTCAGAGACAGATGAAGGGAGAAAAAGAAAAAAATATATATAGAGAAAGTGTTTATAAGCAAGAAGAGAGAGAGAAATGTGAAAAAGCTAGAGAAAGTGTGAAATTGTTATCATCAAAACAACTTATTTATATCTTGTTTTTTTTTTTAGATGGAGTCTCACTCTCTCACCCAGGCTAGAGTGCAGTGGCACGATCCTGGCTTGCTGCAACCTCTGCCTCCCGGGTTCAAGCCAATCTCCTACCTCAGCCTCCCAAGTAGCTGGGATTACAGGCATGCGCCACCATGCCTGGCTAATTTTCGTATTTTAGTAGAGACAGGGTTTCGTCATTTTGGCCAGGCTGGTCTCGAACTCCTGACCTCAAGTGATCCACCTGCCTCAGCCTCCCAAAGTGCTGGGATTACAGGTGTGAGCCACAGCACCTGGCCAAAACAACTTCTAATTATTGCACAAACGGTAAGTCAGGCTCTTTACTAAAAGTGTAAAGACTATCATTTTGTTGAATTCTCATAACACTTGTTTGAGGTAGATAATCTTATTATCTACACTTGACAGATGAAAAAACTAAGGCCCAGTAAGGTAAGGGCACAGTTAATGGTGAATCACCAGAAAGTGACAAAATTGGGATTTGAACCTATCTGTCCAGGCCCAAAGCCAAGCTCTGACCCACTACACAATGGTTCACAGCATTGTAGAGGATGGGGAAATACATCTTTTATGATGGAGTCTCTTTATATTTACTCACATTTTGGGTCAGGGTTAGTGATTTTTCTGATTGAAATGCCTGAATGAAAACTGTATTTTTAGAAAGCCCAACTGAGGAAAATCATGGAGTGTACTAAGCAGAATCATTTTTGAAACAAAGTTGTTCAGCCCTCTTTCTGATCCCCCAGAAAACAAACAAGATGAGTTGTAACTCAAGAACCACAACTGCTCAACTCCAAACCAGGGGTGACAGATCACAAAAGAAACCCTAGAGTGGCTCTGATAGACACATGGCTGCTGTGTACTTATTTAACTACTGCTTGTACTCCTGAATGAGTTTGCCCCTGGAGTCAGTGTTTGGATATTTAAATGTGAGGATATCATTAAGCACAGAACAAATTTTCTGCATAATTAAATCACCCGGCCTTTGAAAACCAAACAGCAGGAAATGCAGAAGAAAAAGCTTGGATGCATGTTCAACACTTTCCTTGTACAGAAGTCAACACTAGGAATTTCTTTTTTCTTTTTTAAGACGGAGTTTCACTCTTGTTGCCCAGGCTGGAGTGCAAGGCACGATCTCGGCTCACGGCAACCTCTGCTTCCTGGGTTCAAGAGATTCTCCTGCCTCAGTCACCTGAGTAACTGGGATTACAGGCGTGCGCCACCACGCCCAGCTAATTTTGTATTTTTAGTAGAGACGGGGTTTCTCCATGTTGGTTAGGCTGGTCTCAAATTCCCGACTTCAGGTGATCCACCCACCTCAACTTCCCAAAGTGCTGGGATTACAGGCGTGAGTCATGGCACTCGGCCAATTCCGGGAATTTCAGAGTTGGAATTCTCCAGGACTCTCCCTAGCAAATGCATACTTTCTTTTTTTCGTTTCATTTCTTTTTTTTTAATTTGTTTTTTCAGAGACAGGGTCTTACTATGCTGCCCAAGCTGGTCTTGAACTCCTCACCTCAGCCTCCAAAGTGCTGGGATTAAAGGCGTGAGTTACTGCACCTGGCCTATTTAATTAATTGTGTTTTTTTGAGATGGAGTCTGAAGTGTCACCCAGTCTGAAGTGCAGTAGTGCAATCACGACTCACTGCAACCTCCACCTCCCAGGTTCAAGCAATTCTCCTGTCTCAGCCTCCCAAATAGCTGGGATTATACGTGTGTGCCACCACACCTGACTTATTTTTGTATTTTTAGTAGAGATGGGGTTTCACCGTGTTGGCCAGGCTGGTCTTGAATTCCTGACCTCAAGTGATCTGCCCGCCTCAGCCTCCCAATGTGCTAGCATTACAGGCATAAGCCACCACACCTGGCTGATTTTATTTTTTATAGAGATGGGGTCTCACTATGTTGGCTGTGCTGACCTCAAACTCCTGACCTCAAGCAATCCTCTCACTTCTCAGCCTCTTAAATTGCTGGGATTACAGGCATGAGCCACTGTGCCAGGCCTTAAACGTTTTATTTTTTTTGCAAATGCACATTTTCATACACAAAAAAATGTTACTATGTTATGGGATTTACCGCTTACCGCACTTCTACCAGAGCCTGTTCATGAAACTTAGAGAATTTGATCTTTAATAACAAAGCCTAATACATTCTACATGTTTTATGTCAGGGGTAGGCAAACTTTTTCTGTAAAGGAGTAGATGGTAAATATTTTAGACTCTGTAGACCATATGTCCTTTGTCACAACAAATCATCCTGCTGTTACAGTGCCAACATAGCCATAGATAATACATAAATGGGCAGGTGTGATGGCTCAGACCTGTAGTCCTAGCACTTTGTGAGGCTGGCTGGGAAGATCACTTGAGCCAGGAGTTTGAAATCAGCCTGGGCAACGAAGCAAGATCCCATCTCCACCAAAAGAAACATGACAATACATAAATGAATAGGTGTCACTGGTTCCCAATATGACGTTATTTACCAGTGCTGACATTTGAATTTCATATAGTTTTCTTGTGTCATGAAATTATATATATATATGTATATTTGAGACAGGGTCTCGCTTTATTGCCCAAGCTGGAGTGAAGTGGTGCAATCATAGCTCACTGCAGCCTTGAACTCCTGGGGTCAAGTGATCCTCCTGCCTCAGCCTCCCAAGTCACTGAGATTACAGGCATGAGGCTTCCCTTATTTTTTAAATTTTTTGTACAGATGGGGTCTTACAGTGTTGCAGTTTTCTTGAGAAAGTTACATAAAGGGCTCCAGCTAGCCATGTTCATACACATACCTGCATGCCTACCCTATTTTCTCCTCTCTTTTCCCATCCCTAGCCCATGAGTCCATAAAGAGGCAAGAACCTTCTTTTTTTTTTTTTGAGATGGAGTCTTGCTCTGTTGCCCAGGCTGGAGTGCAGTGGCGCCATCTCGGCTCCCTGCAAGCTCTCCCTGCAAGCTCCACCTCCTGGGTTCACGCCATTCTCCTGCCTCAGCCTCCCGAGTAGCTGGGACTATAGGCGCCCGCCACCATGCCTGACTAATTTTTTTTTGCATTTTTTAGTAGAGACAGGGTTTCACCATGTTAGGAAAGTCTCGATCTCCTGACTTCGTGATCCACCCGCCTTGGCCTCCCAAAGTGCTGGGATTACAGGCATGAGCCACTGTGCTGAGCATAATCTTTGTATTTTTAGTAAAGACAGGGTTTCACCGGATTGGCCAGGCTGGTCTCGAACTACTGACCTTGTGATCCACCTGCCTCAGCCTCCCAAAATGCTGAGATTAGAGGCGTGAGTCACTGTGCCTGGCCAAGAACCTTTTCTTCAGTTCCCCTTGGCAGTCAGAAGGTTCCTGCCATCTGTGCTGTATGCACTTGACTCTTATCTCGTACCCTTTGGTGGGGAAAAATGGAAGACTGGGGAGTCAGGGCCTCTTTCTGCTGCTTGCATGTACTTCCGCAGTTAAGCAAATAAAGGCTTGACTGTTACTTTTAGTTTGGCTCCTTGTCCTAACTGAACACCTTGACCCCTGATTGAGTGACAGATTGGAGCTGGCAACCAGGCAACATATTTAGCTAGAACTGAATAATATCATTTTCTTTTTATTGTCTAATCTTGATCCTATGTGTTACCTTCCACTGTGGCAAAAGGCACAGAAGTTGTCTTTGTGACATGAAATTTCCTCCTAAAGTAGGTGGCTCACACCTGTAATCCCAACACTTTGGGAGGCTGAGGTGGATGGATCACTTGAGGTCAGGAGTTCAAGACCAGCCCAGCCAACCTGGTGAAACCTCGTCTCTACTAAAAATACAAAAATTTGCCAGGCAACAGCTACTTGGGAGGCTGAGGTTGCAGTGAACCGAGATCCCACCACTGCATTCCAGCCTGAGTAACAGAGCAAGACTCCATCTCAAAAAACAAAAACAAAAACAAAAAAACAGAAATTTCCTCCCAAATTTAGTTAAGTAAAAGATAATGAATGGTGTACGTGGAAATAAGTCAAGTAGATATGACATAGTACAAGGTGGCAAGTGGATATAGTGACAGAACGTGACTGAGGTTGGGAATAACTGGTATAACTCTGCTTTGGGAATATTTGGCCTTCAAAGGGACAGGTGACTAAAGTGCCAGTATTGCTTCATGCTGTTAAGCACATCTGCTAACAGCAGCAAGGGCACACTTACATCCCGTATTGCTTCATAGAGTGCTTTGAATGTCGGTTGCTTATCGTCATGGTAGACGCCTCGGTTTCCATGCAGAACAGACACACCTTCACGCTCAGCCTCTCTGCAGTTGCTTCCATACATGCAGTGATCGGGACGGTAGTTCCACTGGCAGGGGAATACATAGAGACACTCTGGTGGTAAAAAGAGGAAGACATATATGTCCACAGTCAGTGCCAGCTCTCATGTACATGTCCCATGATTAAACTGTTTCCACTAACTGTACACACCATATAATTTCAAGGTACAGGAGTGTGATTTTTTTACTCATAGATCAAATTTTGCCCCATTTGTCGAAATTCTGAGATCAAGAATTGAAGGGGCACACAGTGATGATGTAGGTTTCATCTAAAAAAAGAAGAGAGTACAGCATCTTAAATAAGAAAGCAGACACAGGTATCAGGTAGCCTGGGTCCAAATCCCAACTCTCTCACTCAAAACCACTGAAATCCATGTCTAGTCACTCAACTTCCTGTACTTCCATTTTCTCATCTGTAAATGAGAATAATACAACCTCTATCTTATTTTGATGATTAAACTTTAAACATACATGTAAAATGCTTAGCAGGGTATCAAACATATAGTAGTGGTTCAGTAATGTTAGCAGTTGTACTGGTTGGGTATGGTGGCTCACACCTGTAATCCCAGAGTTTGGGAGGCCAAGGTGGAAGGATCACTTGAGGCCAGGAGTTTGAGAACAGCTCGGGCAACATAGTAAGACCCCTGTCTCTATACAAATTTTAAAAATTAGCAGCTGGGCCAGGCACGGTGGCTCACTCCTATAATTCCAGCACTTTGGGAGGCCAAGGCAGGCAAATCACCTGAGGTCAGGAGTGTGAGATCAGCCCGGCCAACATGGCGAAACCCTGTCCCTACTAAAGATACAAAAATTAGCCAGGCATGGTGGCACGCACCTGTAATCCCACCTACTCAGGAGGCTGAGGTGGGAGAATTGCCAGGAGGTGGCAGAGGTTGCACTGATCCAAGATCACACCACTACACTCCACCCTGAGCAACAAAATGAGACTCTGTCTCAAAACAAAACAAACAAACAAACGAACCGAAAAAACAACAAAAATAAATTAGCCAGGCATGGAGGCACACTTGAAGTTACTTGGGAGGCTGAAATGGGAGGATTCCTTGAGCCCAGGAGTTAGAGATTACAGTGAGCTATGATCATGCCACTGCACTCTAGCCTGTGACGGAGTGAGATCCTGTCTCAAAAAAAAAAAAAAAGATACACACAAAAAATGTCAAATATAGTGATAGCAATTGTAATCAACTCTTTGGAAAGGTTTTATAAAATGGACAGATCTAAAAAAGAGGAGTCAAGATTAAAGCAAAGATTCTGCTTCAGATTAAGAACAAACAAAAAACAACAACAACAAAAGTAAACAGCAAAAACCCCCATCTTCGGCTGGGTACAGTGGCTCACACCTGTAATCCCAGCACTTTGCAAGGCCGAGGCTGGTGGATAACTTGAGGTCAGGAGTTCGAGACCAGCCTGACCAACATGATGAAACCCTGTCTCTACTAAAAATACAAACATTAGCCAGGCGTGGAGGCAGGAGCCTGTAATCCCAGCTACTCAGGAGGCTGAGGCACGAGAATCTAGAACCCGGAAGGCAGAGGTTGCAGTGAGCTGAGACCACACCACTGCACTCCAGCCTGGGTGACGGAGTGAGACTCCATCTCAAAAACAAAAACCAACAACAACAAAAAAACCCCACCTACAACAGGAAAGAGAAAAACCCCAAAGCAAAAAAGCAAAGAAAAAAAAAAAGCCCTGTGCCAAGGTAACTGCATGCACTATGGCCATATGTACACATATGTACACGGGTGTGTTTGTATCTCTAAACAAATGGTTCTCAACCAGCGGCAATTTTGCCCCCCCCCCACTCCTCGACCCCAGGGCCATTTGGCAATATTTGGAGGGAGACACTGTTGACTGTTATACATGGGGGAGGCTGCAACTGGCATCTAGTGGGTGCTCTGAACATCCTGTAATGAACAGGACAATCCCCACAATAGCAACAGTGCTGATGTTGAGAAACTCTGCCCTAATCCTATTGGATTCAGAAAGTTTCCTCTTGGTGACCAGAATTATACAATTAGCAATAAATTCATGACCCCCTAGCTTCCTTGCTTCTCAGCTTGATGCTTTTCAGGATCGGGGGCAGAGGAGTATGGATCAAAGCTCTCTGCAAATGTGTGTTGCTGATCATGAGAAAGGCCCTGTGACAGAGCACAAGACAGGCTTACAGCAAATCAGTAACACCACCACCATTGGAAAAGCAACTTCAAGATGTGCTTGTTCATTGGGTTGATGGCATTCCTGTCTCACGGAAAAATCATTGCTTAGTGATTACTTATAGAAAGCTTCAAGATGGAAAGCAAATAATGAAGTGATTGTCACACATCGTGTCTGGCAGGCTGTGTATGTTTCCATGGCTCAGTCTTTTATAGGACAGTGACATTTAGGCATCTTTTTTCAAATTCCTAATTGCTCATAACATACTGTGACATTTCTCGGCCGGGCGCGGTGGCTCAAGCCTGTAATCCAGGCACTGGTTTGGGGAGGCCGAAGGCGGGCAATCACGAGGTCCAGGAAAAAAAAAAAGACAGGGGAAACATCGCAGGACGCATCCTGGCTACACGGTGAAACCGTCTCTTACTAAAAATACAAAAAAACTAGCCGGGCGAAGTGTCCGGGCGGCCTGCCTATCCCCAGCTGCTTTGGGAGCCTGAGGCAGGAGAAATGGGCGTAAACCCAGGAGGCGGAGCTTGCAGTGAGCCTGAGATTCGGCCACTGCACTCCAGCCTGGGCCGACAGAGCGAGACTTTCGCTCTCAAAAAAAAAAAAAAAAAAAAAACATACTGTGACATTTCTCTTTTCTCAGGCAGAAACTCCACCTCCACCATGACATTCCCTTACTTGCATTTACCTGCAACATTGCACATACGTAGTCCCTAAGTGGGACAGAGTAGTGGCCATTCTCAAGTACCCGTATCTACTCTTTGAATCACAACTCCTCTCATTAGCTGCCTGATTTGCATTTGAATGCAGAGGCTGATGTGAGGATTAAATAAAGAAAAATATCTAAAAGTGCTTTTGAACTCGTGCCTGACCACAGCCCAACTGCTTCCTTTTGTCACCCAATGGGTCACATCATTCATTTAACGGTGCTCACCCAAGCATTTACATTGTCTGCTTAAGCACCTTCTAAAGTTTCCCCCTTGAATGAACTGTGCTTGAGTCTGTTTTTGTAAATAACTGATTGATCGAATCAATGAATATTTGTTGAGTGTCTGCTGTGGACAAAGCAAATAAATGGAACAATCCAGTCGCCTGCCTTCATGGAGTTAGATTGGTGATGAGAATTTTGCCTCTTTCCCAAGTAGTTTAGGCTCTACTACAAAAAGAAACCTTTCTCGGCTGGCTGTGTGGTATCTCACGCCTGTAATCCCAGCACTTTTGGGAACTTGAGGTGGGCGGATCATGAGGTCAGGAGTTTGGACTGGCCTGCCAAGATGGCGAAACCCCGCCTCTACTAAAAATACAAAAATTAGCTGGGCATGATGGGTGTGCCTGTAGTCCCAGCTACTCGGGAGCTCAGGCAGAAGAATCTGTTGAACTTGCGGAGGTTGTAGTGAGCTGAGATCGCGCCACTGCACTCCAGCCTGAGTGACAGAGTAAGACTCTGTGTCAAAAAAAAAAAGAAAGAAACTTTTTCTCTCTTTGCAACCTCCTTAGAGGACTGAGCCCAGTGAGAGGCACTCCAAGGCAGAAAACAAATAGAAAGGGCAGAGACTCTGGAATCAGAAGTACAGAGGTGCAAACCTGGCTTCTACCCCCATCTAGCTCTGTAACCGTGGTGAGTTCGAAAAACATTTCACCTCGATTTAACAGCAGTAAAGAGAAGCCAAGGCCAGGCATGGTGGCTCATGCCTATAATCCCAGCACTTTGGGAGGTCAAGGTGGGAGAATTGCTTGAGCTCAGGAATTTGAGACCAACCTGGGCAACAAAGCGAGACTCCGTCTCTACAAAATTAAAAAATTTGGCCAGGCACGGTGGCTCATGCCTGTAATCTCAGCACTTTGGGAGGCTGAGGTAGGTAGATCATCTGAGGTCGGGAGTTTGAGACCAGCCTGGCCAACAGAGCGAGACTCCGTCTCTACAAAATTAAAAAATTTGGCCAGGCACGGTGGCTCATGCCTGTAATCTCAGCACTTTGGGAGGCTGAGGTAGGTAGATCACCTGAGGTCGGGAGTTTGAGACCAGCCTGACCAACATGGAGAAACCCCGTCTCTACTAAAAATACAAAAAAATTAGCTGGGCATGGTGGCACATGACTGTAATCACAGCTACTCAGGAGGGTGAGGCAGGAGAATCGCTTGAACCTGGGAGGCAGAGGTTGTGATGAGCCGAGATTGCACCACTGCACTCCAGCCTGGGCAACAAGAGCGAAACTCTGTCTCAAAAAAAAAAAAAAAAAAAAAAATTCTCCCGACCTCAGGTGATCTGCCCGCCTCGGCCTCCCAAAGTGCTGGTATTACAGGCATCAGCTACCGTGCCCGGCCAGAGTTTTGTATTTTTAGTAGAGACAGGGTTTCGCCATGTTGGCCAGGCTGGTCTCGAACTCCTGACCTCAAGTGATCTGCCCGCCTCAGCCTCCCCGTGCTGGGATTACAGGTGTCAGCCACTGTACCCAGTCTACTCCTCTCTACAGAAAATAAATTTCTGATTATTTCATACTCTTGGGATCTCTAAGATTATGAACTAGTTTATGCCTGATCATTTTAACTTCATGGTAATATAGGCTTGCTACACTTTTATATATTTTTATTTTTTAGTAGAGATGGGGGTCTTGCCACATTGCCCAGGCTGGTCTTGGACTCCTGGCCTCAAGCAATCCTCCCTGCTCAGCCTCCTAAAGTGTTGGGATTACAGGCATGAGCCCCCACACCCAGCCTCTCTTAATGCTCTGTATCACTAGAATGGAGGCTGTTCAACTGCACTGTTAATTTTTTTTTTTTTTTTGCAATGTCTCATCCTGGAACTGAGATTTCCCAGCATTCTCTTTTTCCTTATTTCAGAATAGTCCTTGTTCCAGAAAAGGCAATTAATTTTGT